TTTAGGGTTTATGATTTAGGGTTTTGGATTTAGGGAAACATTCTGTTTCACTCGGGTCTGTTTCAGCAGGGCGCTCGGCGATTGGGCTGTCAAGCAGACCTTGCATCTGAAAACCCGACCCTCAACCCGCGGCCCCAACCCTCAAACAAGTCACTCCCTAGGGTTTAGGGTCTAGGGTTTTTTTTAACACCTTTTTCCAGCAAGCAGTGCTAGTCAGCAGAATCCACATATTGCGGAAGGGTTTAGGGTTAAGGGTTTAGGCTCAAACAGAAAACTAACTACAGTATGCACCAGAAGTCCTCAAGCCAGGAACGTCAAAATGGTAGCTCAACCCAAAACTTTCAATCCCTAGGTCCTCCAAGCCCTCAAAACCCCTCCAACCATCAACCCTCAAACCTCAAAATCCGTCAACCTCAGCTCCTTTTACTACGCTCTTGTAGCATCCCGTATAGCAACCCTTATGAGGCACCCTTTAAAGGAACCCTATTGAAACCCGGCGAGCGCCGGGAACCCAAAGCTCGCCGCTGGGAGCCCCCGCTACTGAGACGTTCACGCCGTTCATGACCATGAAGGTGACGAGCGCGAACCTTAGCGTGCACGCTAACAACGAGAGGGAACAAAGCAAACCCTGGGCATGAAATCCTCGTGGATTATGGGGGTTCGCTGGTTATTTTTATGCTGGTCAAGAGATGAGGCAATCAGAGTAGTGAGCAGCAGAATATTTTACACAGAAACCGACAGATAGACAGGCAGGTTCTCATGGATAAATCTCACAAGTTGTCATGAAGCAGCAAGCAAAACACCGCCGTCTCTCCAGGAATTTATGAAACGCCTTTGCAGGATGCGACCTCGAGTTCGGTGTGCGAAGTTAGGGGGTGGATTGCTTGCCTCAGTGGCTTTGGCAGTTGCTTCTGCGAGCAGCTGGGACGTCCAAAGCCTAACAACGGGTGTAGTGATTGAAACTGAGCTGCAAGGTTGAACTTGGCAACGTGACAGCCCAACAACTTACAGGATTGCCAGAAGGGTTGTTTATGCGACTCTATACGGTAAGAATTCTGAAAGAGCCCTGCTGGGCTTAGCATTGATTCTTTACAAACAAAATGTCACTGCATCAAAGACTCTTGGGCTGCCCGTGCGAACCCCAAAAGGGCTTCGGACATAGTTTAGGGTTTTAAGGGCTCGACACCATTTGACAGACCAGGAGAATTCCAACCTCGACAACCCGAACCTGAACCCTAAACCCCCGGCCTCCAAATCCTACATCCTGAACCCCTAAACCCTAAACCCTAAACCCTACCAAATTGCCCAAGAACGTCGGACCCGCGATTCTTCTAAATTACGAAGAAGATCATGGTCAGTCAATCCCTGCGACTACTACTGTAGTTTTGTCTGCTACA